GGAAAAATTTTGTTTGCTTCTCGAAGCACTGATTTATCCTTTGCAAGCAAAGCAATCAGCGTTTGTGCTGCCGAGATCGGTGAACGTTCCAAAAAGCTATTCAATCACTTGTTTTCTATGGAAAAAAGTTTCACATGCAAATAGTTTTTAACAATTTAGAATATTTTTGAGAAGACATTAGAAATATTTGACATTTTAAAGACCAAATAATTAGAAAAAAAAAAACAAAATAGCTGCTCTTGAGCATTTCTTGGGCTTTTTTTAATCGTCGAACTAAAAAAATGTTTACAAATAATAACATAACAACAGATTTAGTTTTTATTAACCCGTAACTTCAATTGCATTACTGCTTGGGTACAAAAATTTAAAATCAAAGGATTGTCTCTACGGGAAAGAATTGGAGTTAATGCAGAGATAAAAAATAGTTTATCTCAAAATGAGAATAACGAATACTTACAAAAATTAAAACGACCAGCGCAGATCTCTATTATTTGGGAATATCAAGCAACACTTGATTGTAATTTTTCAATCCTTGAAATAAACTGAATAAAAAACAAAATATTAAGTTGTATTTATAATTTTTTTGTTGTAGTAGAACGATACGAAAAAAAGCGGTATATTGAGATTGATAGACCTGAAGTTGTTCAGCTGTATAACAATGGAATGGGTGGCGCAGATCTTCTTGATCAAATGTTGCAGTATTACCGTATTTTCATAAAATCTAAAGAGTGGACCCTACGAGTTATTATGCAGTTCTTTTACATGGCAATAGTGGCGAGTTGGTTCTAGTATAAAGCGGATGCAGATAAAAATGATATACCTATGCAACAATTTCTTCAACATTTCAAAATGAAAACCGACGGAGCCGTTCCTCAAACACCTTTAGCAAAGATGAGCAGCAAGCTCCTAAAAGATTGAAGTACTTCAACCAACCACCAACTTACACGCGTTATGATCAAGTCGGTCACCTACCGAAGTTTGATTATTTACAAAATAATGGAGTTTGCTGCAAGAACTAAAAAAATGTTTACAAATAATAACATAAAAACAGATTTAGTTTTTATTAACCCGTTACTCCAATTGCATTACTGCTTGGGTACAAAAATTTAAAATCAAAGGATTGTCTCTACGGGAAGGCATTGGAGTTATTGCA